CGACACGGGGCTCAAACTCACGGACTACGAGATCATGACCTGAGCCGAAGTCGGCCGCTTAACCGACTGAGCCACCCAGGCGCCCCTGTTCATCTGTTTTGTATCTTAAAGTCCTCATATGAGTGAAGTCATATGATATTGTTGTAAAGGAAATTTTTATTGAAAAATCTTTTTAAGGCTTATTTTCGCATAGCAGCTGTTACATTTCTTTAATGGTTGAACAGTATCATCATGATCAAACTGAATATTCTTTGTGCCTTTACTGTGCCCGGTGTGTATTTATATAATAGCACAAGAATGCAGATCAATTTCATCTTGCATACTTACTTCACTTCCTAGTGGTGTCCTGGAGGAGTGCTGTGTGAAGAGTTCTGACACTGCATCTGTGCCCTGTGGGGGAGGCTGCCATGGTTAATTAGCGTCTGGCATGTGAAGTGTTTGAGTGGTAAATGTTGCACTACAGGAATAGATGTGCCTTGCCTTTCTGTACCGTTATTAGCAAAGAGATAGCTGTTGGAATATGGTAGCACCAAGTCTGTAATTTAATATGTGGCACTTATAAGTGAACACTATAGGATCACCATTTTATACAACACACTTAAATTATATTTTAGCAATAAAAGTGATTTTGGTTGAGATGCTCTGTTGGCATCTCAGTCAAATGCTAGATTGTTCTGTTATGTGTTACTATCCTTTAGCTGCTGGTTTAATTTTAGTCAGAGTCATGTGATAGGATCAAGATGTTGCATTGTCCTTCCTCCATAAAATACTAGAAATTGTTGGGAACTCTACTATTAAAGTACTTCCTAATTGCTTCGTTTGACAAATTATTTCTGCCCCAACTCAGAGAGTGTACCTGTTCACAGCAGTGAATAAAATAGACAAAAATCCCTGTGTTTATAGTTTACATTTTAATGATTATCATTGTCAGATACTATGAAAGTTAGTTATATGCATCAATGAATATCCGTAACTTGTACAGGAAGTTGGTTTTTCTGGTTAAGGTAAGATTCATGTATTTTTCTCAAGTTTTCTTTTAAATTTTCTTTCCAGAAAAGTGCAAAAGGGACTAATACAAAATTTTGCTAGCAGATCCAGCTGTGGTGATCATATTAGAAAAATACTGGTTTTGCCCTGCGTCGGGCTCTGTGCGGACAGCTCGGAGCCTGGAGCCTGCTTCAGATGATGTGTCTCTCTCTCTTTTCCTCCCCTGCTCACACTCTATCTGTCTCTCTCAAAAATAAATAAACATTAAAAAAAGAGAGAGAAATACTGGCTTTGAAATAGCAATGGCAAGAATTTCTGAAACCCCTAATGATATTTCATCACACTAAATTTTTTTTTTTAAAACAATTTGGGATTGAAAATGGAATAGATCATATCTGGGTTCCCTTTTAAAATGGTAAGATGTTATTGGAAATAGATAATGAAGTAACTGCTTTCTTTTATGTGACTGTAATAACCTTGTAGATTCCCTGTAAATAACAGTTCTTTCCAGGGCCAAGGCAAGAACTTAACTCTTCCGTGTATAAAATCTTAATTTATTTTTGGGACAGGGAGAGACAGAGCATGAACGGGGGAGGGGCAGAGAGAGAGGGAGACACAGAATCGGAAACAGGCTCCAGGCTCTGAGCCATCAGCCCAGAGCCCGACGCGGGGCTCGAACTCACGGACCATGAGATCTTGACCTGGCTGAAGTCAGACGCTTAACCGACTGCGCCACCCAGGCGCCCCTAAAATCTTAATTTATTAGGTTTTGAGGTTATCTTACAATGTACTCTAATGCAATTTTGCTATTAAAAAAAAATTTAGTTTATTTTTTGAGAGAGAGAAAGAGCAGGGGAGGGGCAGAGAGAGAAGGAGAGAGAGAGAATCCCAAGCAGGCTCCCCACTGTCAGCACAGAACACACTGCAGGGCTCGAACCCATGAACCGTGAGGTCATGACCTGAGCTGAATTGAGAGTCGGATGCTTAACCGACTGAGCCACCCAGGTGCCTCTAATGTAATTTTACTATTAATGGGGAGTATGAGAATAATATCACTTTTGTTTAAAAGGTTTGATTCTTTTACTGACTGGCACTACGCTTCAAGATTTTATTTTTCACTTAATAAAATTTTTTTTGTGTTTGGTTCAGTAAAATGTGTTATGTGCCATCCTTTGGGATCTGAAAGTAGCGTAGTCATGTAGAACAAAATATTGGAGTAAGATTTCTTAAAATGAATGTCTACCTGCAAACCAAAAGTACATTATTTTTAACATTAGGTGCTTCTGGTCTAATCATCATTATCATCATAGCAGCTAACATTTACTGAGCTCATCCGCACCCTGCACTTGCACCATGGCATTTAATCCTCACGATTCTGTGAAATAGATACATCATACCCATCTATAAGTGAGGTAATGGTGGCTTGCAGAGGTTAATAACTTTTCAAAGTTACCAAGCGTGCAGATGGCAGTACAGAGACTTGAATCCTTACTTTCCGGTGCTGTAAATTATGCAGTCTTAGTCCCTAAAGTGTACATGTCTCAAGAATACTCCATAAGCCAAATGAAGAAGCAGTGGAGGTGGCTGTTTTGTTTCTCTTAGTTTTAAGAATTCTGGCTGCCTTTGACTTAAGAGTTTTTGGAGTAGTCAAAGAGTTCAGAAATAACAGGGCCTTATTTTCCTCTCCACCTCTGTCAAAGCCTTTGGTCTTCAGGCCTGTAGAGAACCATCCTGGATGTAACCCAACACCTTTCCCACTTTTCCCCTAACATTTACTCAGTCTTTCAAGACTTTGTCTCAGATACTGCCTTTTTAAGGGAAAAAAAAATTTTTTTGCATTTATGTAGTTTTGAGAGACAGACAGAGCACACATGGGGGAGGGGCAGAGAGAGAAGGAGACACAGAATCCAAAGCAGGCTCCAGGCTCAGACCTGTCAGCACAGAGCCTGATGCGGGGCTTGAACCCATGAACCGTGGGATCATAACCTGAGCTGAAGTCGGATGCTTAACCAATGGAGCCACCCAGGCGCCCCTCAGATACTGCCTTTTTAAGGACAGCTTTTCCATATCCCAGCCCTTTCCTAACTGAATAGGCAAGAGGCAGAATTCCTGTGTGCCTTCTGTATACTTCTGCCTTAGTACTTACGTTATTGGACATAACCTCCTTGAGTGTCTGTCCTTCTTCTAGGCCATGGGCTACTTGTTTCTTAACTCTTCTCAGTGATTCCAGAGTCTGGTGTTCAGTGGATGTTCCATCAACACTTTTTAAACCGAACTGGCATTATTTCCTGAGGATGTGTACCTCTGCTCTGTAAACATCTGTTTATTTTGTAAACGTCTGCCACAAAATAACAACTGAAATCTGACCCTGAATGCTCTTGCTTCTCTGACTATGTCTAGGTTTGATGACCATCCCTTCTGAATCTTCCCAGCAGTCCCACACCTCGTGTCCATATCAGCACTCTCCTAGCAACACAGTGAGCTCTCATCCCCACAGCAACCAGAGCAACCTGTCCAACAATCATGGCAGTGGCCTCAGCACCACGGGCAGTAATTCAGTCGCACAGGTCTCACTGCCTCACTCCCAGATGCATACACAGCCGTCTCCACACCCATCCCATCGACCACATGGTTTACCACAGCATCCACAGCGTCCCCAGCACCCGGCATCGCACCCGCAGCAACATAGCCAGCTCCAGCCCCCTCACCCCCAGCACCCCTCTCCACATCAACACGTACAGCACCATCCGAACCATCAACATCAGCCGTTAACACATCAGGCGCCGCCACCCCCACAACAGGTATCCTGTAATTCTGGTAAGTTGGTGTCTCCTGACTTGTGTTTGGCTAACTGTGAATTAGGATATGTTCTTTGTTATCTGGGGCTTATATATATTTACTACCAAAACTTCTCTCTTCTCCTTTTGTGTTTCCTTGCTGTAATCCTGTAGTTGTAACTCACTGAATCCATACATTGTATCAGATTTTTGTGATTAAAATTTATCATCACATCATAGGCAGACTCAGTAACCTTGTAGGTTTTGGTTTTAACTCTTGTTTGTTCTTCTGGAAAATAAGTGTTTTTGTGATCATTTGAAAGAAGAATGGGATGCATAGTCTGTCTACAATCTATTGTGATTCAGTGTGGTATAGAAGAAAGAGTATAGATTTGTGTCAGAAAAACGTGTATTTGAGTCCTCACTATGGCTCTTATGATCTTTCGTGTATTTCTCTTAGTCTTATTATTTTCTCATCTATAAATATGGAACTAAAGTACCCTGATATACGGTGTTGTTATGAGGGTTGCATTGAGAATACAAATAGGAAATGCCTCGTCAGGTACCTAGCCTTTAGGTATTCAGAGAATGTTCCCACTCTTCCTTTCTTCGCTTATTCCTGCCAAGTATCTCATTTTAGAAAGATAGATTGCAAAGGAAGAAGACGTTCTTCACATTCTCATTTTCAAAAAATCTATTGCTCTTAAGATAGGTCTTGATAGTTTCTGGTGACATGCTTAATTGACATTGCTTATAGACCAGGCATCTCTCTGTACTGCAGCACTCCCAAGGGGTGCCACAGACATAGACTACAAGGTGATTGGGGCCCTTTGGAGCTGTGCCAGAGTACAGATCCTTCCCTCAGCTTGCCTGGCTGCCCACTTACCATCTAAATCACTGATGAGATTTTATCCTGGAGGGACAATTTCTAAGTGCTGGCCAGTGCTAGTTCTTACCAATTAGAAATTGATCATTATTTCAGGCAATTAAAAATCTGTTGAGGGGGAAGTAACCTTTAGATAGTGTATACTGTCTCTTATATTCTGACTTTGCTATAAAGCTTAAGTTTTTCTGAAATGGTTTCCTTTTTTACAAAGTAGAAAAAATATAATTTTGGGGGGGGGAGAATTAAGGTACAGAAATGCATATCAGAGTACTTGAAACTTAGTTTCTTTTCATAATTTATTTTGTTTTCCCAGTTAATAACTAAGTAGGTTCTAGAATAAAGTTGAAAATTGGGTATAGTTCTTTCCTTGATGGAAGATCTCCTAAAACACCTTAAAATTATTTTTAAGTTTATGCCTAGAAAAAAAAGTATAAATATAGGCCTCTTTTGTAACTGTTAGTGTTAGTCACTATTGCCCACCTTTAAAAAAAATTTTTTTATTGAACTTGTAATTCATGCGCCATGTTACATTAGTTTTAGATGTACAACACAGTGATTCGACAACTCTACATGTTATGCTCTGTCCACAAGTATAGCTACCATCTGTCACTATACAATGCTGTTAAAATACCTACCACTGACTGTATTTCTTACGCTGTACCTTTCATACCTGTGACTTGTGTCATAAAATTAGAAGCCTGTACCTCCCACTCCTCTTCACCCATTTGGCACCCCCAACCTGTTTGTTCTGTGTCTTCAGATTCCACATATAAGTGAGATCTTAATGATATTTGACTTCTCTGACTTTCTTCACTTACACTTGCCTACCTTTTAATGTCAGTGCACTCTTCAGAAAGTTAAGCTTGTTCTTAATGATTTTTTAAAGACACTTTAAAAAAATTATTGTATTTTATTTTAGAGAGCGCTAGTGGGGGAAAAGGGCAGAGAGTGAGGGATGGGAAGAGGATGAAAATCTTAACCAGGCTCTACACCCAGCATGGAGCCTGATGGGGGGCTTGATTCCATGACCCTGGGATCATACCCTGAGGTGAAATCAAGAGTCAAATGTTCAACTGAGCCACCCAGGCACCTCGTTTTTAATATGATTTTAAGGATTGACTAATGATTGTAGAGATTTGATATCAGTAGAAGTCTGATGCTCTGGTCTTTCTTTCTATTAAATCTAATGATTGCTAGGGCAGAAAAAAGTACTATTACAGCTGAAAACACTCCATCATGTGGTCTTAGTCGCCTGTTATTATATCAGCAGTTGCTTGCAGGAGAAGGAAAGTAGCTGTTCACCTGGAGCTGTTAGGAATAATCATTTTGGCTGTGATAATAATCTCTTTGAATTAAAAATTTGTCATTTATAAGATGAGGCTAAGCAGGTTGTCTTAAATAGGGAAGGAATGGAAGAAACTAATAGTTGTTTGAGTTCCCACTATGTGGTAGGCAATTTAGATACATCATCTCATATTATCTTCCCAATTCAAGTATGAATTACCACATTTAGTAGATAGGAAAGTGTAACTCAAAAAAATTAAGTAGTTTGCTTGAGATCAGAGCTAATAAGTGGTAGAATTGGAATTTATATTGTGGCTTGTCAGGACTTCAAAGATTGTAACACCAGTAATTCCAAAAGGACTAAAATCAGTAACCATTTACTGATTTGTAGAGTTTGTTTGCCTAGCCACTCTCTTGCAGAGATTGCTTTGTGTTGCCAAGTCAGCATTTATTATAAGTTATGGACTTGAAAGTCTGATGGACTTGAATGTTTGTGCCTCAGGGCATTATTTTTCCCCAACAAATTTCTCGCTAAATTAAGAGTTGCCTAAGGGCAGAGTCACGTTGTCTCTGGTTCATTGTTTATTTGAAACAAAAGTCCATAATTGGCAGATTTTTGTAAACCAAGTAACCAGTAGTTGATAGAGAGTTATCCGTGTTACGGCAAAAAAATTCCTTTTTACTAGTTCTTACCTTTATCCATCCAGGGATGATTCTGATAACAGAATAATTCGTGCAGCAGTCACTGAAGGGAGGATTTTCTTCCTCTACTCAGTACTGTCTCATTGAGGGTAGTTCTTGCCCCATGCCCCTGAGTAGTGATCACTTTGCTGACATACAGACTGTGGAGTCTTAACCCTCCTGATGATGTCACATCAGAGCGCACTGTTCCTGACTAGAAATGCCCTGGTTTGGATTCATCAGCATTTCTTAGAGAGGTCTCCACCCTTTCTTTTGCTACTTTGCCAGGAGGACTGTATTAAGACATTTCTCTCTCCTAAGGTTGCCTTGTAAGAAATTTGTCTACTTGCTATACAATCTCATTTACCTCCCTTAAGTCACTTAAGTCAGTGCTCTAAGTTATACTGTGTTGCTTCTAAATGGGAACCTACCTCTGAGTTACAAAGAACATATCTCTTAATGTCATAACAAGACAGGAAAATGAACTTCATATAGTGGCGAGGGCAGATGTATTATTGATTTATATGACTTGTAGTGCCTGGCCATTCATTTGTACTGTACAAATGTAAAGAGCACTAATCAAGTTTGACATTTTAAGGTGATAGGGCTATTTGTGAGCTGTCAGACTAGAGCTTAGAAGCACCAGGTTCAAGTTTTGGATTCATCATGGTGACGTTGCTAAGTTATGCCATCTCTCTGGGTTCATTTTCTTTTTATTTATGGAACGAAGAGTAATAAGACCCCTCTTCCTGTTTCATAGAGATGACTGCCCCCAGCAATACATGATATTAATGTGTGCAAATCCATTTGTAAAACTGGATAGGAATCTGCCAGTGTCAGGAATAAGCCCAGCTCATTATCTTCCCCTACCCTATACTTCACACTCACTATTCAAGACTTACAGTGTTGTCAATATTATTTTTATAGGTGTTTCGAATGATTGGTATGCAACACTTGATATGCTAAAAGAAAGTTGTCGAATTGCCAGCAGTGTTAATTGGTCAGATGTAGACCTTTCACAGTTCCAAGGTGAGTATTGGGTCTTTTTGACATATAACCAAATACACATGATCCTGTTTTCTCTCATAGATACAAGTTTCATTGTGGTAGAAATAGATGTCTTCTTTTTTTTTTTTTAATTTTTTTTTTTTAACGTTTATTTATTTTTGAGACAGAGAGAGACAGAGCATGAACGGGGGAGGGCCAGAGAGAGAGAGGGAGACACAGAACCTGAAGCAGGCTCCAGGCTCTGAGTTGTCAGCACAGAGCCCGACGCGGGGCTCGAACTCATGGACCGCGAGATCATGACCTGAGCCGAAGTCGGCCACTTAACCGACTGAGCCACCCAGGCGCCCCAGATATCTTCTTATCTAGTGTTTCTTTTGCAGTTGGAGTGTGCTTAAAAATTCTGCAAAATTCATAATTAAGTCCTTTAGTCAGTTGATATAGCAGAGGGTCAGACAAGAGTTCTGAAAGAAGTTTGGCCACATTTAGAATAATTAGGCTTTGAATAATTTTTAAATGTCATTTTGCATTGCATGGGAAAATCACTACCAGTAGAAATCTTGAGGGCTAAAAAAAATTGTGTCTTGTTATTTTCATTGGGATATTTGTAGAACAAACTATGCTAACTGTATTTCTAATGCTTTTCTCATAGGTTTGATGGAGAGTATGAGACAGGCAGATCTCAAGAACTGGTCTTTGGATCAGGTTCAGTTTGCTGATCTCTGTTCTTCTCTTAACCAATTCTTTACACAAACTGGCCTTATCCACTCACAGAGTAATGTTCAGCAAAATGTCTGTCATGGTGCCATGCATCCAGCAAAACCTTCCCAACACATTGGAACAGGTATGGATTTAATTAGCTTCTCGATTTTCTCTCTTTATTTGTGTGAAATTCAGTAAGTGAGGTAACTTGGTATGTTACTTGGTATATTAATGGTGACAGTGATCTGTTTGCATCTTTTTATTTTTAAGAAATGAAATGAATTCAAAGTATTTAAGGTATATTTTAGAAAAATTGAGATAAAGAGACTATATTTTTCTGTCATGATTTCTATGATTCTTTTGTTTACAATTGACTTTCCTTTGTGATCTTTTAAGTTCTCAAACAAGAATTAAATGTTTTAGATACATTTTTATAAGAATATAGTTATGAAGTTATATCAGTTTAAATGTGTAGAGACTTGCAAAGAAAATCAGCATGTCTAATTTTATATATCTTCTAAGAATGTTAAGATGTAAATTTCAAAGTTTACTTGAAGAGCACATAATGGTAAATAGTCTCAGTATTTTACTCTTGACTCAAAATTTGTGCTCTGTAGTTTTCATCTCGCTTTCTTACTTTTCTTGTTACCTTTGTAGCCATCTCTGATTACAATGCCTTCTCTTTTCTCAAGTTTCTGTTCTGTAGGTGTTTAATATCCAAGTTCTTTCTTCATTTTAATTTCTTACCACCTTTTATCTCTTAAGTTGACTTTCTGTTTGTTATTTTGGTTTTATATTTGATGCATTTTTAAAAAGTTCTCTCTTTTTATTTTATTTACTTATTTTGAGAGAGACAGAGACAGCATGAGTGGGGGAGGGGCAGAGAGAGGGAGAGAGAGAGAATCCGAAGCAGACTCTGTGCTGTCTGCACAAAGCCCAGTGCAGGACTTGAACTTACCAAACCGTGAGACTATGACCTGAGCTGAAACCAGGAGTTGGATGCTTAACTGACTGAGGCATCCAGGTGTCGCCAAAAGTCCTTTCTTTTCTATCCTGAGTGGCTTTCTTCAACCATTATCCTAGCAAATTTCACATATTTGGTCTTCACATATTCTCAAGATTCCCAGATCTTTCTTTTCCTGAAATCTTTATGTGTCTTTTGATAGAAATCTTCCATCATCTGTGCTTCTTCCACTTGAATAGCTTACCTAACGTGAAACGCTCAGTGGCTATTTGATTTTGATGACTTACTCATTTCATAAATTATATCCAAGAACCTCATTCAGTGCTTGCCATATACCTGAATTTGTTGAGTGCCCTCTATGTGCCTGACCACCAAGCTTCATTTTTTGATAACTCTTTAGCTCCTTCCTGTCTATGTCTTTCTCTGTCACTTCCTTTTTGGTATCTTCCTGATATATACTCTATGAAAAACATTTTTTATTGTAAAATTCACCATCCCAGTCATCCTTAAATTTATAGTTCAGTGGCGTAAAATATATTCATAACGTGCAACTGTCCCCACCATCCATCTCCATAACTCTTTTCATCTTGTAAAGTGGATGATATTCTGTACTTATTAAACAAATTCCCCCCCCCCCCCCCCCC